ACACACACACACACACACACACACACACACACACACACACACAACGGTTATGTACATGTAGCCAGGTGTTTGCTCTGGAGAGAGGTTGGCCCAGAGTCACATGGGAACCTCACCTCATGGCAGCCTGACGGAATCAGAGAGGTGACTAGCTATTAGCTGCAGATGCCACATCAGTAACACAAGAGGTTCTATTTCACAGTCTCACAGCAATTCCTGAAGACACCAAACTGTAGGGGAACCTGTAGCCAGCCCCTAATTGCAGAAGCAGCTACAATGAGTGCTCATATATATATCAGGTCATTGGCAACTCCAGCACAAATGGACAGAGACCCCCTCAGTAATAGCCAGGCTAATTCTACATGCATGGACATATGTATAGAGGCACATATACTGAAGGAGATAAGGATAACACAAATAAGGAAAAGGAATTATTAGTTGGTAAATTCTGCAAACAGGCAATACTGGAGCTCTCTGTATTTATACAATGTAAAACTATTTCACATTTTTAAAGCTATAAAACTTAAAATGCAATTAGTATTTTAGAAACAAATTTTACAGAATGGTTGGTAATCTGTACAAACCATGCCCAGTCAGAAATAGAAAACAAGCCCGATGCTTTCCTTGCAGTGAGGAAATGAAACAGAAATTTTACAGATAGTGAAGCTCCGATACTATGAGTGCCCAGACACAAAACACTTGGCCCATTGATGAATCTATGGGGCTTCCTCCTTCCAAAGAGCAAGATAGGGCTTTACCCTGTATATGTGTTGTAAGAGAAAAGGAAATGAGAAAGCCAGGGCAAAACCATAGTGGCTATTCTGGACCTGTGAGGTGGCCTGAGAAACTGGCTTGATTGGCACCAGGCGCCTTCCTGGACTCCATAATTTTTAAAAACCAACATTTTTCTAAACTCAAACAGACAAACAAACAAACAAAAAAACCCTGATTTGGACAAGGGTCATCAGTAGATGGCGAGTCCACCAAGTGGAAGAGGACTATGGATAATTATGTTTGAAAAAGAATACCCTCACAATGAGGAAATACTACAGTCCTCTTAACCAAATGGTGAAGTTCAGCATTACTGACAGGACAGCCTGACAGGGCATGCCTTGTAATATGATGCAGAATGAAGTTACATTTTCCTCTATAAAATATACTCACCAAAAACGTTAAACTTGAACCCAAGAAGATCTATATCAGACTTCAAGTTTAAGAATTCATAAAACAATCCCAAAAGGAAACAAGCAGGTGGATCAGGACAGGGCATGCATTCTGAGCTTGAGTTTCCCCCACCCCTTTTCTTAGTTTTGGAGAGCATGGCAAATGGTAAACACTGAAGTAGTGCAAATAAGAGAAAGACTGTTTTCTCTTTAGTCTCACTCTGTAAGGCTGTGGCATTCACCCTGTGGCCACATTTACCAAATTCTAAGGGAAAGGGAAGATTTGGAAGTTAAGAAAAACACTTAGAAATATTGACAGAAAAGAGGAGGGAAGCCTTCTGTAGAGGTGAGAGAATGGTGGAGACAACAGAACCAAAGCCAAAGAGACTGCACTGCAGCACTTCACAAGTCCTATGCAAAGAGAGGGCCAGGGAACACAGCCAGGCTGACAGGCGATAAAGGACCAGCTAGGAGGGTGCTTCCTAATAACTTGGATACTGAATGGTTTCTCCTCTCTACAACCCATCAATCTTAGAAACAAAAGTTAACTTGATTTCACCTTTGCTAGAGAAGAGGGTGTAAAGTGTACTGCACAGGTAGAAAGTCCCACCACCATGCATGTCAATGTGGAGCTGGTAGCCTTGAAGTCCATAGTCTGGGCTGTCATCCACAAAGGGACTATGATGAGGAGGTGGCACATAGGGGCTGAAAAGCAAATCAGAACATACACAAATCTGTTAGCATCACAGACAAAATACTTGCTTGGAAAATACTCCTAAAAATTATTATCTATTCAAAACACTACCTCCCACCAATGAGACACCATAGGAACCCTAATAACTTTCCTACCATGAACTTAAAAGAACTGTTCCATGTTGCTCTCACCAACTTCTAAAAAAAGATAAAGTGTTCCATGGGCAGCCATCAGACCAGCACGGTGACTGTGACTAAGATCCACCCTAGAAACGTAGTTCTACAAAGCCTACCCCGCCCTCAGTGTTCTCAGTGGCCAAAGACAGGGGCGCCAACACAGACCTACAGGCCAGGGAATCAGGCAGAGACTCAAGCTAAAACCAACCAATTGTTTCAGTTAAGAAAAACCTCAGCACAGAAGGCAACATACTTAAAAGCACCCAGGAGTTTTACAGGTATTAAAAAAAGTAAATAAGGAAGGGATCAAGGGGAAAGCTGCAGAGAGACAGAAAACACTGCTCCCCACCAAACAACAGGCTGATATATTAGAAGACACTCACAGACACAAAGAGTCAACCAGAGTGCCAAAGGTCTGCACATTTTCAAAGTTCAAAATTTCACATTGTTAAGTAGGAGAACCTGGGGGTGAATGGCAGCATGCTATCAGAACAAAGCACTCCTGCCTCTATAATGCTCTACCAGGTATAAAATCCTTAAATAGAATAAATCAAGCAGATACATACCCATAAATAATACAATTATGTTGTCAATAAAACACATTACTAAGCGGTCAGTCAGGTCTGTGGTCTTGTGTCCACTGGCTACAGAATACTTTCATAGTTATTATAAGAATTTTAAGAAGGAACTGACTTATAACCCTCTATCCTTATCATACAAAAACCCAATTCACCCACACACAGATACGTACAGAGTGATTGAGCCTAATGTGCTTCTCTCCACGAGGCGATGAAAATGAAGATTTGCCATGACAAAAGCCAGTCCGTCACCCTTCTGAAAAGTTAATGTAAAAGAACAGAGTTTTCAACAGATGTATTTTAATTTTTCACGAATTCATTTTGAAAATCATAATTTATCATCTTGAAGATACATGCATTGTTATTGGTAATAAGGTGTCACCAAAAGACCTGCATACAATACTGGACCATGATTCACTCAACATGCAGAAATGCAGTCCCAAAAGAATTAATGTCCTACACTTGAGACAGCAAAATGCTCTATTATACACAATGATTTCCATGTCATTTATATGTATATATGAATAATTCATAATATGTATATGCTTGTATACATATACGTAAATATATATATACATATATATATGTATATATATATATATACATGTGTGTGTGTGTGTGTGTGTGTGTGTGTGTGTGTGTGTGTCTGTGAGTGAAAGACAGAGAGAGATGATTTCAAACTACTTCAAACTCTTTTCAAAGATAAAGACAATCTGGTAAGACCCTGCAGATGTCTGGTAAATTTCACAGATCCTGAGGATTACTGGATAATGTTCTTCTACTTAGCTTCACCTGTTAACTTGATACATCCAGAATTCTCCAAGAATCCCAGCCGAGACACTGGTTGGATCTGCCAGCCTGTGAGCCTGTCTGCAGGACATTTTCTTGATTGCTAATTGATGTAGGAGGGCCCATCATCCCTAAGCATGAAGTTCTGGACTGTCTATGACAGCAGGCTAAGCAGAGGCTAGAGAACAAGCAAGCAACCTTCCTCCATAGTTTCTGCTGCCTGGTTCCTGACTCAACTTCCTGCTATGACTTCCCTCAATGATGGGCTGTGACCTGGAAGTGTAAAATGAAATAAACCCTTCCCTCACCCAATTTCCTTTTGGTCATGCTGTTTATCACAGCAACAGAAATCAAACTAGAAAAATGTTTCTTTTCAAAATGACTGCTTAGTTGGGCAAATGCAGTAGAAATGACTAATTTCACGTCTTCATTGGCTGATGGGGAACTTATGTTTACTGCTGTAGCTATTCCTGAATAATAAGCCTGAAGGTACCACTCTCTGTGCAGATCAAACACAAGTCCTCATAATTCTAGACCGAAAAAGGATCCAAAAATTTAAGACATAAAATGCATAAGCAAACGGCTCCTTCATCCCCTAATCACACACATACAGAGAGTAGAAAGGAAAGAAACAAGACTGGCATGGCCACCTGATAAAGACGACAAGAGGATGCTGCTGCAGAAAACTGAAAACGTGAGTGTGTCCCATCAGTGTACACAGAGGCACACTGCCCTCTCAACCATCCCGTGTGCAGCTCTCGTTAAAGAACCAAGAGCCAAAGCCACAAAACTAAACAAGTGTGGACTCGCAGAGGTACATAACACTTTCCTGCAATCCACCAAGGGAATGTCCGTAATATAACCCCATTAGAACCCTTCTTTGGAATGGCTGGCTGTCAGGGTGGTATAATATAGACTATTGCTGTGGCCTTGATTGCCTCTCAGAAGTTGATGTTTGTAAACCCCGTCTGCTGAATACATTGCATACTCAGGACACAGGTCTCAGACTGACTCAGATGATTCCAGCTTATCTGACCTCAAAGCCTCTTCCCTGTGGTCTAGCTTCTGTGGTACCAGAAAATACTATGCAAGCTGCCAAGGGAGAGACACTGATAGTCCTACCCAGCTGCAACACCCATAAACCACAACAATGACCAGCACAGTAAGGTATCTGTAAAGGAGCAAGTAAGTGGGGCTTACATGTAGGTGGCACCAAAGGCTGCTAACTGGACTTAAGACCCACTCAGCAAGAGGGAAATTCTGCCTGGTACTAGAAATCTAGCCAACTTCCCAGGGCTAGTGAGGTCATGGGCCTCAGAAAAGAATCCACTGCAGCCACTTTGCTAGATCAGCATAATTCCCTACTACATTCTAAATCTTATCCTGACAACCATAAGTAAATGTAGCTATCACCCCTCATCAGCAAACAGAGACCATTACAAAAATCCACAACAATACAGAGATCAACAGGTGGTTTGGAGCTCAACCCCAGTGGAAACATTTACATCACATATCTCAAATCTATGGCCCAGGAAACACTGCACTAGAGGTGACATCAATATTGTAAGAGTCAGAACATCAGTAAGTTTGCTGTCAGACAGTCTGTCTTAGAAATGACTACATAAACAAGACCCACACAAACGACCCATAGACATGCTAACATAGAAAAGGGAAACTGTCCCACAGTCCCAATCCTAGACATAGAACTACAGGCAAAGAATGGGTGCTTAGAGACAGAGACTTATAGCCTTTCCCAGAGTTGAGCCCTCTAATGGGTTATCCAATAGTAAGCCCTAAAACTATATATACACAAACAACAAAAATGAACTCAGCAGGTTATATTTAAATATTTCCGCATACATATAGGTATGTGCGTATGTAATAATAATAGAAGGAAGCTATCGATTTGATAGTGGGAGAAGCCATGAAAGAGGTTAGAGGGGAGAGCCCTGTAAGTAGATGGAAGGAAAGGGGCAAAAGGGAAAAGTGATATAATTCAATCTGAATTAAAAATAAAAATAAAAACACTAAAACTGAGAAGGATCAGAACTCAGCCTGGCCTAGTGAAACAGAAACACACAGACTGAAAGAGTAACTTCTTAGAAACTTGACCTTGAAGGGCAGAGTATGTCCCATGTCACATACACAAGTCAGAAAGATTCTTAGAAACCTCCAAGTTGCTCCTTCATGACCTCTGCATCCTTCTTCTTCTTCCCTTCTCATGAAAGGTTGAGTCAGGTGTAGATTAGAAGAAAGGATATGTGATAGATAGGGCTTTAGTTGGGGGGGGGTGCAGTAGGGGAAGAAGGGAGGGAGAAGGGAACTGGGATTGTCATGTAATTCAATCTTATTTGTAATGCAAATAAAAAATAAAAACAAATTAAAAAAAAAGAAACCTCCAAGTTGGGCATGTACTATCAGAAACTTGGGCAAAGAAAGACTTGAGAGGAGAGTAGAACAGACTTACTGGGGGAGGGGAAGTGGGAAAGTGTCCTTTTGTTTAAAGAAATAACTGTCAGTAGAAAAAGGAAGGCAGAGGAAGTGCTCTGTCATCCAATCAGCCCTGAATACCTCCGAGTCTACATTCAGTCGCGTATATAACAGTGTGCAAACGTGGGACTATGAAGGGAGACCACACTGTCCGTGCATGAACTCCACCTTATATATATTACAGTGTGTAAACATGGGACTGTGAAGGGAGACCACACAGTCCATGCATGAACTCCATCTTACAGATATATAACAGTGTGCAAATGTGGGACTGTAAAGGGAGACAACATAGTCCGTGCATGAACTCCATCTTACCTGCCATAGCCCCACCAGGAGTCCAGGATTTAGACAGAATACCCGGACAAGTCTATCACAGCCAATCATGGCAGCCTTGCTTAAATGACTCAGATCATACTGTGCAATTAAAGATAGCCATCGTGGTCTTGGAACACCATGCCAAGAGAGAAGAGAGAGATATGAACTTTTCAGTATGTCTTGTTGTCGAGTCTCATTAGTGTAACTAAAAATACTTTTGAGGAGCAATTATTTATACACACTAACACGCTCAAACTAAGTGACATAGTTATGGAGCCTTGTACAACTGAGAGGCAAATACACCAAGTTTCTTTCCCTACTGTGTTTTTCTTCCCCTCCCTCTTACTCTTCCTCTGAGAGCAGATGTGACTTTGCCCAGAGTTTTTATAGGTGGATCTGAGAAACAACACTGAAAACTGAAACATTAAAAATAAATGTAAGCTGAATCATGAGTGTTTTCCTAAGAGAGCCGCACAGGACTCTCGGTCTTAGTGCCCAAGAGTAAATACTCATTTGTGTAGGAGATGCCTTCACTATATTCCACACTAAGACTTAACACCCTCCAGAGGGAATGGTATCTACAAGTACAATGCAGGACAGACAACAACATATGGCTCGGGAAATCAGAGAGGAGCTGAGACCTCAGTGGTCAATCAACAGAGCACTAGGCCACAGTCCCTAAGGTGCCAGGACCCTGCCATCTGGAATTTACTCCCGGGAACCAGTGCTCAGATAACAGGTGATACACATACAGACACTAAGTGAGACAAGGCAGGGTCACCTGGGGCACTGCTCCAAAGCAGAGGAGGTCTGTAAGGCAGCAAAACCAAACTACAGCTCTCAGGAGACAGGACTCTAGCACTGTGTTCATAAGGAATTTTTATGCTGAGCATAATAACTAGGTAACAGAGCTGGTTGGTGAGAAGATCTGCGACACAATAACTAAAAGTAGACTCAACACATGAGGAGTTTGCCTGGAGGATGGCGAACACAGGGCCAGTGACATAAGTGTAATTCGGGGACACATCAGCTCCAGTTGACAATGACTTCACAACATCATGGACTGGGTCCCAACATGTGAGAACACCTGCTCAGAGGGAAGGCCAGACCACTCAAAAGAAAAAAATACCAAGACAGCACAGCACATCTACCAGATGCTCAATAGCTGGCAACCATTGTTGTGGCCATGGTCAAGACAGAAAGAGGCAGCTAGGTGGAGATGGCAGAAAGCCTCTTCCCTCCCTCTTCAATGGACCACAGCTGGGAAGCACTCTCAGTTATGGCTGTGGAAATACTCAACAGACTCTGGGGACAATCAAAACCACCATTCACCTTAGCTTTGCAAGCCATAGCCATGGCCACTGTGGCCTCTGAGAACATTATACCACCTTCCTCACAAACCTGGAGAGCACAGGGGTGCATGAAATGAGAACAGAGAACTAACAAGAATAACAGTTGAGAGTCCATCTAGAAAGTCCATCTAAGCTAAAGGGAAACTATCTGAAAATAACACCATGAGCACTCTTGATATTCCCAGAAACACTTCACAGTAGAAACAAATGTGAGCTTAAGTGAAGGCATAGTCTCTCCCAGCTCTCACAAAGACACAGCAAAGACCTGTTCTCCCTCAAGCTGAAAGCACTGGCCTACAAACTGTGGAGAGAGACCCATCAAAACACATTGTTGAAACACTTTCAGCTCTGCTTACCACTGCCGGTGAAAGGCTGACCCACAGAGTTTAAATGGAAACTAATTACATTAGATTCATTTCCCCCAATGAATCCCAGCATTCGTTCGTTACCATGTAGTAACTCGTATTCCTGGCCTTGGTGGCAATTTCTGGGAACACACATATTGTAAGTTCTATAATTCAACATAACATGTGATCTTTAACCCATGGTCTTTCCAGATACTTTAACTAATGATAAGTAATTTGTGCCAGTACCTATAAACAATGATCTCTGATATACCAAGTAACATATCAAAACAGTGCATTTTGTGGATTCCTACTCCAAACATAATTTCAGAATATATACAACTTACCTACTATATTAGAAAAACTTGGAAGTTCATCATACAAATTTCAGATTTACCCAAATAACTGTATTGTCAAAATGAATCTAGTAATCTAATTGGGGAAAATAGTCTGTGTTTTATGCTAATAATGTCATCAGAGCATACCAAGCATCGCAGCCATGAGATAGCTGAGTATGATCATTAAGCAGCCACAGAGCTGGCACCACAGAGAGACCAAAAGCAGGCCCACTCCAGGGAATCAATGAAATAACCCTCTCTCTTCATAGGGACAGGCATGGGAGGGACCCATGAGGAAAACTACAGTAAGCAAAGACAGTAACAAACTCAATGGAGAAATGCTGCTGAAAAGTCAAAGGGATGGGTTAGACAGCAGCATGACAGTTGTGGAGAAGGCAGACATGACCATACACTGCAACAGATTTGATATAAAAATTGCTAGCATACTTGCTACATAAGGATCTACCCCTGACACAGTCCAGCTTTCACAAGACAGGGACCATTGGTGAAGACAGGATTTGCTGGGAGAAGCAGGTATGAGCCTTTCAGTGCATGTAGACTTGGGGCAAAGCCATCTAACAGCAGGATGTGTGTTCTGTAGTGAACACTCATCTGACCTATAGACTTCACAGCTAAGTCTCATGATCTTCACCCTAAAGGCCATCAGCATCCCCCCAATGTACAGATGTGAAGATGGAGGCAGAGTCAGGTGCATATGGACATATTAGTAAATTCAAGAGAAAAATCACATACAGTAAGTGTTAATTGCATTTATAAAGTATTTAAACTAACATTAGTATATAATTACTGAAAAATACGCTAATTTTGTATCACTTGTTAAAACAGCTAAAAGTAAAAATGTTGAAAAGCTACATGTCACCTAATAAACTTTTAAAACTAGATTATCATTTTTACTATTATAAAATTCAAGACATTTTAATCTAGGCCTAAATGTGGCAAAGCCCAGTATCTTCTTTTCCATAGCAATACAGAATGACAGGGAGGTCTTTGACATACAATCAAGTGAAAATCCACTAGTGGTATTTGAGCTACAAAGGAATGACAATTAACACTCAGGTTCCAGGAGTCCTTGCCAATGTGCTGCTGAATTAGTACTTACCCATAGGGGTCAAAGGTTTTATACCGGTCTGCAAAAACTGGCGTCACACCACACAGATCCAGGGTGGACAATTTGGCCAGATGTGGCCAATTTTTATCATACCACACAACAGTGACAGATGTGTCATTGAAGGAAAGATCAACATGCTGCATGACGTGCTCTTTTCCACTTTTTTCTCTCAATATAATTGCAAAATGTAGGCCAAATACTCTAGAGAAAGAAAAGAAAGCTCAAAATGCTTTCTAAGAAAGAACTCTCTATCAATGCACACATGTGTGCGCGCGCGCGCGCGCACACACACACACACACACACACACACACACACACACACACACGTCCTATGTCATTTCCATCCTTGGCACACTCCTGACCTGTTTTCAGTTCACCCACAGCACCTTCAGAGCCTTTTCTCCTCCAGCAAATACTCCCTGAGTATCTGTGACATTCCATGACTGGCAATTCAGACAATGGAAGGGCACCTTCAACACCCTGGCTTTACTCCATACCATGAGACTGTTTCTTCTGTTTATAAAAACGTAAGCCAATATCAAAATATTGTGCATTTTACAAACACAAAAACACACACAAAGAAAAAACTATCAGAGACCGTTCCCTCTAATATAAACTGCTCATCTAGTCTAGGAATGGAGCTCATAGCATCCATTTCTCTAGCACATGCAAAGCCCTCATCTAGGAGCACAGCTCATGGTAGGCACTTCCCTAGCACATGTGTGGCCCTACTTTCAATCCTTAGGCCTGCAAACTACAAAACAAACAAACAAACAAAAACCTCTGCATATCCACTGTATACCTAAAACACCTGACTATGACAACATCAGGTTAGAAACTGCACGGTTCTGTCCCGGAGCCATTGGTGTGTCCAAGAGCAGTCTACACACCTGAGGGCCTCTTTGATTTTCACAGGAAGGCCTGTGTAGGAGTTGACAGGTTTGACAATTTGGGCTAGTGCTTCTTTCACATCTGAGATCTGTTTTGTAATATATTCTTTCTTCCAGTACCCAGCTTCTTTATCCTCAACTGAGAGTAAGCTCACAGATGTGGCTGTCTCCTCCACTGAGTTAACTTTCCAGTGTGATCTTTTCGGTGAAAATGCAGCTGAGTAGATTTTGATCCAAATAAGACTGGAAGAAAGGGATAAAATATAGCAAGTGTAGGCACAGTAAAGAATTTGTAACAGCAATGTATTACATGAGTGATACACAATAATTTTTAATCAAATAGGGCAATTCCGTGAATAATTTGCATGTCTTTATGTGTACAGTGGACCACAGTCTGAAATGAAATGTTTTAGATCCACTATCTCCAAAAGCACATAAAAAAAAAAGGAAAAGCCTATTTCTAGAGTCAGATTTAAGTTAAGAATTCCATGTTATTTGGGATCATCCAAATACTGTCTTTCTGCAAGATGACTGAGTAGGAGTTCAATCATTAAAAAAATCACAGATTTATATAAAGGGTGAATCTGGACTTACTGTGGGTATGTATATGCATAAGCACTGTACACAAATACACAATAGAGTAAATACATTACACTTTCACTTTTATTCCTATCTTTAAATTTTTAACAATGAACATGCCCCAATTTCAAAAAGGTAAAATAATGAAAGTCATTAAAATATAACAGCAACCACTAAGTTTTCCTGAGCACACATGTCAATTGCTACTTAAGCAATTCATATACATGAACTCATTCAGTCCTTCCAATACACACATGAGGTAGCTACTGTTTTTATCCTGATTGTACAACAGATGTCATAGTTACAGTCTAGACTGGTACATTCAAATATGCATATACACATGAATACATTTTAATGACTCAAAAATGATCTATATCATTTCAAAATTATTGTCAAATGCTCCACTAGTTGATATAGATAAAATATATATTCTCTCACAAAAGAATTTCTTGCCGGGCGTTGGTGGCTCACGCCTTTAATCCCAGCACTTGGGAGGCAGAGGCAGGTGGATCTCTGTGAGTTCGAGACCACCCTGGTCTACAAGAGCTAGTTCCAGGACAGCCTCCAAAGCCACAGAGAAACCCTGTCTCGAAAAACCACAAAAAAAAAAAAGAAAAGAAAAGAAAAAAAAATAATTTCTTGAACCTTTTAAAATTAAAAGACAAGAAGCCCCTTCTCAATTAGAGCAGGTGCATGTTCCTTTTGGAGTGTGAGAACAGTGTAGGACAGCCGTAATGAGATCAGAGGATGTACTATGGGTTCCTCACTTGAAGGGCAAACACAAGAGCATCAAAGATGTGGTAGACCAGTCACTTCAATATTCATTACTATGACCTGGAGAAAATGTAAAAATATGGATTCCAGACCACTAAATTACAATCTTCCAATACACTGAATTATAATCTTCACAAATGTAGAGTAGGAATCCAAAGTTTTACATTTTCCCAGAGGACTGTGAAACCATCTTTCTTGGACTAGTGTCTGAGAATGTTCCCTGCCTACCATGCTCCAAGAACATAAACACAGCAGCCTATCTGTCATTCTCCACACCCTTGTCTCCCAAATCAAACCTGCATCCCTCACCTGGATGCTTTTCCTAGCAATCCGCAGATTTGCAATCCACAGGTTCGACATAGAATCAATATTTGCATGGTCTTTGATACTGAGTAAGAGAGAAACCCCAAAAGCCAAGAAGTGGGACCAAAATGCTCAACAGATACTAGGCAGACTCCATCTCGCCCTACACAAGATGAAATTCTATGTGCAGACCAAGGTCACAATGAAAAATATAAGCAGTTGCTTCTCTTTATTCATAGATGGCCGAGAGCCTAAGTATGGGGACTCCCTAATCCCCAAGGTAAGGACTCCACTCTCTCACTCTTCCCACATATCAAGTATATTTGATTAGCAGGTTTGGAAGGAAGAGCTAAGTCAGTTTAACAGGCCCTTCTCTCACTTCTTTCTCTGTGATCTTCATGACCACCAGTAGGAAGCACACCATCTGCCCAAGAACCCAGGACCAGGTGAAAAGCTCTGTGAATGAATGAGTCTATCACACCTGGGGCCCCTGATCACAGATCAAAGTTTTATTCTACAGACCCAATAGGAATAGGCTTTATCTTCAATATATGCAAAGAATATTCCATATCTTATACTCATAAATGCAAATAATTGAAAATACATGACTACATACATCATAAGACAATCACTGTCTGAAAATAGTATTAAGATTAATTCTCTTAATTTTTAGGAAATGGCTAAAATGCCTACTAATTTTCACAACTTCTATTATCACAAATAACAGACAGACACGGTGTTCCCCCTACTTGTCACTGGCCAAGTGATAAAAGCGTCTGCTCACACATCCAGTGCACAGCAAGCTCACAGCATCCAAGTAGGAAAATATATTCAGCAAGACTTCAGTGGGCATTCTGAGAGAGGAGGGAGAAAATTAAACAAGTTAACCAATACTGAATCTGCAAATTACCCAGAATACAATTAGCTATGCATCTCTAAAGAGAGGGCTACAAACATATATTTTATATATGAAAGATGTCAATTAAGCCTCCAAACTCTCTGTTCCTCCTGGAACAGAGAGACAAAGCATGTAAACAAGATATTTTAGAAGTCCAGCTCCTACCCAGAGCCTGGCAGCCCCAAATCATGGGAGCCTGTGTCTTTCCCATCACACTAGCCACCCCAGTGCCTCTCCTACAGCAAGCCTGCCTCTGTACCTCTGGGCTTCCACTCTTGTACATTCTTCTCCAACTCTTTAATCTTAGCTTTCACTTTCCATCTTCAATGTCACCTTCCTTATCACCTAATTTTATTATTTCTGCTGTGTGGAATTCACTCATTTTCTTGACAGTATGCACCCCAATTTGTAATTTTTCACTTAAAAAAAAAACTCTCTCACTAGGCCAACAACTTCTAGAAAACACATGTAAAGGCTCACCCTGTGTCCCTCGGCATCTGGTACAGCATCAGATTATTGTGTGACAGATCCTATTCCCAGAGTAAAGGGTTTTAAATGTAACTGATGTCCTTAATTACTTCTATGTATAAAAACATACTGAAATAAGTACATGGAAATATGCATATAAAATATGGTACTGTTGGCTGAACTAAGTATGATACAGTGTTACATGTCCAATGGTGAATTAGTTTTGCAATGCACAGGGTCTTCAGGCTTTGCAAGTCTGTCCATGAAAATACCAACGTGACAGGACTCTAAGGGATGCAAATTCCATCAATGTATCCCATAAAAGTATTACAACACACATCAACAGGCATGTTAATATCAGTTCAAATTTTTTTTAAAGAATGAATGAATTGTGGTTCCAATGGTCACAGTACAGATGTCACTGTGACAAAGAGTTCCAAACCACTGATCTAAAAAAAAAAAAAAAATCCGATAAGCTCATACAACTTCAGAAGAAACATGATCTTCTTTTGGCTTTCCACAGATCTTTATCTACTGAAAAGTGAATAATTAGGAAGAACAATTTAATAGAAGGAAAATTCAATGTACTTGTCACCTTTTGAAGTTTAGTTTCATAAAACTAGTCTAATAAGGATAATGGTGACAGGCTCATGACTCATGTCAAATTCTCTGTGTTGTACATTCTTCCTACACAATCTTATTCTTAGAAAGCTCAAAATAGCAACTTGGTATATGCTGCACTATAATTGTCTCTAAAAACCTATGCCTAAAGCCCACCACCCCATGAGAAGTAGGCTACATACCTGTCCAGGGATACAAAACAGATGGTGGACTTCTCATTGTGTTGGCCACGCCTGGTATACTGCCTCAAGACAGGTGAGCCTCTAGCAAATTTAACCCCAGGACCCTTTCTGAAAGTAAAAGTGAGAAACTCAAGTTAGGTAATCACCAAATGAGGAAATTATCTATTCCCCTGTACAAAATTCTGAAGGATCAATAAACTCCAAAGATTATTCAATGTGAAGCTTCATCTCTGAAGTAAAGAAAGACAGAGAAAAGGGTTAAAGGAATAGAGGGGAACGGAAGGAAGAGTTCAAATCGGTAAGTAAATAAATCTAAAGTCTGCACTTCACAGTGCAGTACTTGTGCTCATTACAGACTGTCAAACTGTCACAGGGGCATTCCAAATGTGGGGAAAGGACACAAAGGGAAAATGATAAACATGCTGTTCTAGTTTCATTTTATTGCTGCAACAAAATGCTCTACCCAAAAACAATTTAGAGGGGACAGGGGCTTATTACAGGTTATAATCCATCAATGAGAGACTAGAAGCCTAAAGAGGAGCTTGAGAAGCACAATCCAAGGAGAAATGCTGCTTGGTGGCTTACTCAAGGCTCATGCCTAGCCAGCTTTCTGCATCCCAGGACCACATGCCCAGTGAATGGGGATGCCCACAATGGGCTGGGCCCTCCTCCATCAATTAGCAATCAAGGCAGTCACTCATAGCCATGCCCTGAGGCCACTGAGATTCCCTTCTCAGATGGTTTTAGGCTGTGTCAAGCTGACAATTAAATCTAACTAAAAGAGACATATTCCGTGGCCAGCTTCTGTGTACAACATGGTGAGCAGGAGGCCTTAGCATGTTTGGGTTTTTTCTAGGTTGAAGTTTATATACCATACTATTTTTACGGGTTCTCTTAAATAGGTAGTCCTTTTTATTTTCTAACTTTCAAAATCTTTGTGTGTGTGTGTGTGTGTGTGTGTGTGTGTGTGTGTGTGTGTGTGTGTTAGTGATAGAACGTACTTAGTTTTCATTCATTGCTTAATGTATGTATGAAACCTTAGACTTCTTGGATCAAACCTCCATAGAGCCATGGTATATATAGGTCAATATAGACTTTATAAGAATAATCGCAAGTAATTTTAACTCATTTTAGAAGGTATTCTTTATAAAAGTGATTTAATGGTGGCACCACTCACCATTTAGCTAAAGAGACTGTATGATTGTTGCTTGGCTAGTAAGAGTGCATGACAAAGCTCCAGTTCTTATAACTTGACTATAGAGACTGCATGGTTGTTGCCTGGCTAAAGAAACTGTATGACACAGCTCTAGTTTCAGGTTGACTGGATAGAGCCCCACTTCCTCCTTTAGTTTTATTACTTAAAAATAAAATCACTTGTATAGTGGTCTTTGGATTCACTGACTTGTCCCTTTTGCCCTCAAAATATTGATGGTCTGAGGTGGTTTGGGAAAAGAAATAAGATGAATAAACATTGAAAAAATATAAAATCTACATATTTGAAAATATTAATATTGATGAAATGGCTGAACAGGATTCCTAACTAGTCCCCAGAGATGGAATGAAGGCCAAGATTGGGAAAGTACAAAAAAAAATTCAAAAAAGGGAACTTTACTGCTTCCTTTGTAGTGAAGATATTAATGCTTTTAGAGATATAAAATGTGAATTTGAGAACTCAGAATCAAAAAATGATATGATTTTACATTACAAGTTAATCATTAGAAAATTATAAAATTAAGAAAGATAGGAGTATTGCAGAAATTATATTTGATATGTAAATAAGTGCATATATATATATATAGGTTTAAAATTGATTATAGTATAATTTGATAAGAACTTCTGCTTATTATAAGTTAAGAATTAGTCTTTTAGATTCTAAATTGTCTGGCAATGGTGACCATGAGAAAATGTTAAGGGCCTCTTCTCCCCTCCTTGGTTAAACTTTGTCTACTTGCTCCTGGATCTGTGATCATTGAAAAAAAAAAATTTGCAGATTTTTTTTAATTTGAATTAGAAACAAGATGCCAATCCCAGTTCCCTCTCCCTCCAGTCCTCCCCTACCACCACCACCCCCAACTAAAACCCTATCTATCACATATCCTTTCTGCTCCCCAGGGAGGGTGAGGCCTTCCATGGGGGAGGGTGGTTCATCAGTGTCTATTGTATCCTTTGGAATAGGTCCTAAAAAACACCCCCATGTGTCTTGGCTCAGGGAGTATCCCTCTATATGGAATGGGCTTGCACGCTAGGGATAAGTACTAAACTACCACAGAAGGTCCCGTAGACTTCCAAGGTCTCCTCACTGAAACCCACGTCCCTGGGGTCTGGATCAGTTCCATGCTGGTATCCCAGCTATCAGACTGGGGACCAAGAGCTTTCCGTTGTTCAGGTCAGCTGTTTCTGTGTGTTTCACCAGCCTGATCTGGACCCCTTTGCTCATCACTCATCCTCTGCAACTGGATTCTAGTTCAGTTCAGTGATTAGTTGTGGGTGTCTGCTTCTACTTCTACTAGCTGCTGGATGAAGGCTATAGGATGGCATATAATACAGTCATCAATCTCATTATCAGGGGAGGGCATTTAAGGTAGCCTCTCCTCTGTTGCTTAGATTGTTAGCTGGTGTCATCTTTGTAGATCTCCAGACATTTCCCTAGTGCCTGATTTCTCTGTAAACCTAAAATGTCTCTCTCTATTAAATCAAAAACACCAATGACAGTTTATGCCGGAGAGGATGTGGAGAAAGGAGAACTGCTTGTGGGAGTGCCAATTTGTACAGCCACTGTGGAAATCAGTATGGCGACTCCTCAGGAAAATGGGAATGAGTCTACCACAAGATCCAGCAATTCCACTCCTAGGCATATA